TTATATATATATATATATATGATATATAGTCCCAGGGGTAGCCACCACACTCTATTTGTAAGGTAAATGCCTGGGTTCTCATGCACAAGAATAACCATACAAATCCAAAGTAGGTATAGAGGCACATGGGTCTTGCATTGGAGTAAAGTCAAAGCTTCAGAATTTTATTGTCAACGTTTTAACTGAGCTCAGCCCATCTTGATAAAGATGATCTGAGCTTTGTCGTAACATTGACAATAAATTGCTGATGCTTTGACTTATCTCTGCTGCATGTTTTCCGATGCAGTGAACAATTTATTTTCTTTGAATTCTTGTTAAATTATTGTTATCTCCACAACTGTGATGTCTTTTCTTTATTAACCTCTAAATATAAGGATCTCATTATTCTAGAAATAACATATCATAAACCCGCCATCTGGCAAGATGGGTAAACGCGTGTTACCTGGTTTGGACAGTGGCATGACTCGCGGGAGGAGACGTCTGGAGGAGCGCAAGGGACTGTGAATGAAAGAGTTTTTTGTTTTTGGTAAGTTAAAGGTGGTATGTTATACTCTGCGTTGATTCACATTAATGATAAAATAGCTACTTATTAATATCCAATAATAACAGATGTTTATTTAGAAAGCTTCTAAATACAAGGAATAAATAATTTCTGTCATCCTATATCACAGCAAAGCCCCCTTTCACAATTCATACTGTACCCATTCACAAGTCTGTAAATCAAATGAACAGATACTGTACATGTTGGAAAACAGACACAATTTTATGGGATCTTTTTATAAACAAATCGCAAAAACTGAGAATCTCTTTGAACTTTCATTCTGTGTATAGAGTAAAAAAAGGAATGTTCTTAGTATATTTTCTTTTCAGGTCAAATGTAATATAATACCCCATTATAGCCAAGAAATATACTAAAAATGTTTGTTTTTGCCTCTATTCACAAAGAACAAATGTTCGTAGAGATTTGCAGGGTGAATTTGTATAAATAGAATGGTAAGCCCTTACCCTTGTTGATATATCTAAAAGAGATTGTTACAAAAATGACCAACTTTACAAGATCTCTCCTGTATGTTCCTTCCGACATGTCTTCTGTTTACTTGGTACATAAGGAGGATAACTGCACAACTGAGATACATGAATGTTCCTTACAACGTATAGGAGTACAAGCTCTTTAAGTGTTTTATCTGATCCCAGCGCATTCTCAAAGAGTTGGAGGAAAACCTGTACTGACAAAATTTCGTGCTGCGATTCTGGACCTCCTCTTCTGAAAATGCTGTCATGTCATGTCATGTTGTCATGCTTGTTCAATGGCTTTAATACTTTATAAGGCACGGGCCTGGTACAACTATGCATATCAGGAAACTACCCTCTGACTTTCTAATGTACTTGTTTTTTTGGTTCAGTGATTTAGAACGTACTAAAGCAAAAGACAACCAGGGAACCGGTACTTTTTTTGCAATGGCAGCCCACATATTTTTATCAGTACAGGTTTCCTTTAATAACTGTGTAATGTCTCAATGATTTCTTAATACTACTAAGTGACATATTTATAAAGCAGTGAATGTGATATCCTTCATGCATTCTGTGCAGTTGTATCTTCATGGTGCACATTTTTTAAATGTCAGTGATTGATCCACCAGCAATGAATATTTGGTGAAAGTCACATTCACTGCTTTATACATCTGCCCCTTAACTGTTATTTTATTTTCTAATTTATTATATCAGGCTAAATTCACTAAGCTATAAAAATGATTAATTGCAAAAAGGAATGCAATTTCTAATAGTAAGAGCCAAAAAGATCAGAAAATGCAAGTCACATAGAAAACAAACGCTGTGAAGGCAAATAACCTCTGCATTATATCTTAGCAAAGTCAGCATAACATATGATGGAAATTGATGCTCTTTCAATAATTATAATACACTGCAGATAAACAGATCCCGCTATTGACTGTCTAATATCATCTTTATATAGCAGCACTTTATATCAATTACCTTAACACATCTTTGCACAGGGGAGGGAATGGGTGCTGTTGATAATGCCCAAAAACCTCAAATACTATTGGCTGCGTCTTCACATACTCCACAAACGACTGCGTAACCTCCACAGCAATCTAAGGTATAATAAAAGAACACTCAGGACTATCAGGTAAACTGCCTCCAAATTATGTAACGGTATGGTTATGGGGGGGAAGGGGGCAAAATAATTAATACGCCCTCAGAGGAGACTGGCCACTAAGGGATTACTGCATATACACCGAAGATTAGTAAATGATGGGTTAATGCAGATATTCTGGAGATTGATTAGCTGTTGGGTTAATGCATATATGCTGAAAAGTGGTCACTGAGGGCTTAACGCAAACATGCATTAAAAACTGTGTGGGTTAATGCACATTCTTTGGATACTTGTCACCAAAAGGTTACTGAAAATTCACTGGAGATTAGTGATTGAGTAGTAAATGCATATACTCTAGAAACTGGTCACCCAGGGGTTAAATGCACATTCTCTGAAGACTGGTCCCTTAATGCACATAGTCTGGAGAATGGTAACTGTATGATTTAATGCACATACATTCTCTGAGGAGTTAATGCATATACAATCATCACAGGGGGGTTCATGTACATACACTGGAGAACGGTCACTGAATGGATATCGAGAAGTGAGATATGTGTGTTGGAATGCAGATCTTACTGGTAGCTTAGATGTTTGAGGATGAGCTGTGTTTGCTGGAATGCAGATATCACAGGTGATATTGATACTCAGGGGTCAGATGTGTGTAATAGACTGCAGATCTAAAAGGTAGCATGGGTATAGGGTAGTGCTGCAGACTGGTCACTGAGGGATATTGGAAAGTGAAATGTGTATGTTGGAGAGCGGATTTCATTGATGGAATGGAAACTGAGGAGTGAGCTGTGTGTGCCTGCATGAAGGTCTTACTGGAGACATAGATACGGAAAAGTAAGAAAATAACTTTTAATACTGTATAGGTTATGGTAATTAAAATCATAGATCAGCTCATGAGTGTGCTGGGATGCCTTACATTCTGAACATGGTAGAAGCCCAGTGGAGGTCCGCGGCCTGTGTTCTTCAAAGGTTCCGTAGAAAATGCTTCATCATGACGATGGATGAAGCTGAAAAGTAAAATATGCATTGCAGCTGAGGATTTTTGTCTATTTTAAGTAAAATCATAGTTACCCAATCATCAGAAAAGATATGTGCCCATCTTGCATCCTTCGCCCACTCCAAGGCAATTCAGAACATTGCTTAGTTTGTGCTTGCTTATGATTGGGGTCAGGAGAATGTCTCCTTAGGGCAGTGGTTCTCAACCTTTCTAGGGCCGGGACCCCTTGGTAACATTTGCCAAGTTGTGGTGACCCCCAACGGTAAAATTTAGGGATGACGCGACTGCTGCAGCGACATTTGGCGGTGTGGCGGGAGAACTGACACAGCTGCTCTAGGAGAGGGCTGAGGAGGACTCTCACCTAGCACAGCAGAAATCACACAGTGACCCACAGGTTGAGAACCACTGGCGTACGCCATCAGAATGAAACAAAAAAACCACCATATGAATGCATAGCTAGATTCCTATTGGCTATTTCACTTTGCAATAGCCAATAGCAAACTAGCTATTGCACCCACCCTCTGCTGCTGTCAATCACTAGAAAAGGACCTGATGCAGAAATTTAGGTCCTCCTCTGCTGATTGACAGCAGCAGTGGGCAGGTGCAACAGCTAGTCTGCTATTGGCTTTTGCCAAGTGAAATAGCAATCTAGCTATGCATTCCTATGCCGTTTCTCTCCCGGGCGGCAGGGAGCACCTTAGGGAGCAAAACCGGGTCCTGGTCTGGCCCAGGAGCAGTGCTAAAAAGACAAAGCACCGAAAGAGCTGGTGAAAGGGAGAGAGCTTAGATGCTCCTCACCGACATTGTGTACCTATACTAGCCACACTATTCACCTACACAGGCATTGGGTGTCAAAAGCAAAGAGAGGCTAGTCATTTTAGGATGGAGGTGGGGGTTTATTACTCCATTTCTTACACCAACTTTGTGGCATATGTTCTCCCACTGACCAGCAGTAGAAGGCACAATGTTACTGACCATGGCACTCTGTGCACAGTACTGTATCTTATATAGTTCTGACCCCTGCACTGCATTCACTATAATGTACATTATACTTTTGATCCCTGGACTGTATACACTATGCTGTACAGTTTACTGCTTGCATGCATTGTATATGCTACGTTGCACATTATACTCCTGATCTCTGCACTGCATTCACTATGTTATACATTATACTCCTGTCCCATATATTGTATATGCTATGTTGTATGTTATACTCCTGACCCCTACATTGTATACGCTATATTGTATATTATAGTCCTGACCTCTGCACTGCATATGCATTATATTCTCTGCAATAGCTTTTGGGCTGTCACACTTTAATAGACTGCACAGACTAAAAGTTGTAGGTAGATGAACAATATATAAGTAATGATACTATTAAACTTTTTTTCTTAGTTTCTGCCCTGATTATGATAAATGTTCCAGTATATACATTATTTTAAAGTTAAATTGTACAATAGGTTAACAACATGCCTCATGTAGAGCCACACCCATTTTAAATTAATACTGCATCCCTAATTAAAGTACATTCCTCACATACAATGGCTTGCTGGATGCACATACATAAAAATTGTCCCTGGAATTTTTTTTTAAAATTGGCAACTATTAAGTCATTATCCAGAGACTGGAGGCAGTGAGGTGACATAAAAAGGCCACATGACTTAACCAGGAAATGTGTGTCACCTTTTCTGGCTATGCAATATGCCATATATGCCTAAAATACGGGACTTGCTGTAGAGCATTACATATCCCATGGCAGGCAAACAGTAAGAATAATGTATGTATTTAGTCAATGTATCTTCCTGGTTCCCAAATTCCAATGTACTTACTGAACTTTACTCAACTGATGACCTCCACCCTTTTTGCAAGGAAGCCTTCTTTGAAATAATACAAATGCTTTTCTAATAATAGATGGGATCATTTTGCTAACTCAATAATTATTTGGTTAATCACTGCATTAGAATCTAGTGTAGAATCCAGTAAGGTATGACTATATGCCATTTATATAGTTTAGCGAAAGCTTACATTAATGTGTGTATACAGCATTAGTGGGCAACAAAACATAATATATGTGATTATTATGATGGCTGTATTTCTACGGGAAGAACATACTATATGGCAAGCAGGACTATTTGTTATGATGCATGATATAGAACTAGGCAAGTTATTTATACAGTAATGTATTGAGTCACTAACTTGAACTGGCAAAAAATGTCCGCATATTCTGGGGGGATGCTGGAGGCCTGTAGAACGGTCACTCTAAAGGTGAAGATGCTGCCCAGTTTCAGGGGATGTCCACCTCCATCACACAGATCAAAAGAAGCTTTAATGGGACTGTCAAGTAGAGCAGCTTGCTGAGAGGCTGGAAAAGAAAAAAGTGCAAGCGATTAGGTATTCCTAGTTAAAGTGTATTACAAGCAAAAATAAAGGGACTGGCCAGTGAGGAGAAATCTCTCTAACGAGGACACAACGGCAGTAAAAAAAATAATTCTAGGTAGGAGAAGCCTAGCGAGATACCCTGAGGTCAGCTTTTAAAACAAGTTGGTTTCAGCAGCACCCATGCTTTAATCTTGACGGGTTCCACTTATTTTCAGCTGTTCTCTGACTACTGCAGAAAGTATTAGTGACAATGGCTCTTTAACATCTATATTTATACTGACAACACACACATTCCACTTACGTGCACAAGTGTTATTGTTAACCTCATCAGCACTTGGGCCAGAGTCTGGGTTTTGGCCCTGACCCCCTTCCACTATCCGGAGTTCTTCCTGCGATGTACCAGAGCGCGTCATTCCTGCACATGATTCAGCCTGAAACTGAACCACAGAGACATACAGAAATAATAAGATCTAATGTAAAGACAAACTCTAAGCTGCTTGTCAGATGCTACATAGATAATTACAGAATAGATGTTATTCAGGTCTACAGTTCATTGAAAATAAGCTACTCTCATTGACCCCATTGATCTCCTTGACTCCCAAATGATTGCCAAATCACAGTTAAGTGCTTCCAAGTTTGCCAAAAGTTTGGAGAAAAGCCATTCTTTCCCATGTACTATAGGGGTGTTTTTTTTGTTTTAATGTGCAGTTTATATATGTGATATGGCCAACAGTTAAGGGAGGTAAACATCTGACTGTGACATGACCATGAAAGGTAAACATATAACCATGACACCTACTCATTTGTTTTTTAAAACATTTTTTGTTGTACTGCATTAAAATGCAAGGCTCTATAAATCATAATTTAACAACATAGCTACTACATAGAATAATGTAGTAAAGTGCAGTAAAAAAAAATAAATACAACGTTTTTCGGATTAAAAATGGAATTCATTTTTCACTCATTTTTCATTTTCAAGTGATTTTATTATAACTGTCTATTAGGATGCCGGGCTATGAGGCTGAAATTAATAAAGAATGTGCCAGACTACAATAACCAATCAGACTGCTGCCAGTGCACATAAAAAACAAAAACTATAACTGATATTTACTAAACTAAAGATTTTTTGAATATCTACTGCAATGGATCTTATAATGGGGATGATTTCAATTTTGCAAAAGCAACAAGATGTTGTTTGCTCATTTCAACTAATCAAATATTGTTTACACTCAAAACTTCCCAATGCTGGCATTTAAAGTGGGATGCCATCAAGCCATCTTTTCCTGGTTTCAAGAAAGGTTAGAACCAATATTGTGCTTTTACTCTGTTGTCTGTGAATAATCTGATTGGTTGCTATGCTGAAGGTAAATACTGACTTACACTGAATATTAATATACTGTATATCTATAAATGAAGGTTTAAACAGGTTTTCTCACCTTTTGGAAATGTTGGTCATCAAAAGAAATTTTAGCTGTTCCAGACTGTCTGACTCCTGAGCCATAATCAGGAGCTTCCTCATCAGCTACAACAAAGCAATAATGTTGTGTCACCTCTACAGTCTAACAAGTCTAACAATCACTTTAAACAGATAACAAAATGATGTTGCCAGAATTATGAGTTCACATATTTCCACTCATCCAAAGTCTAGCGCTGTCCACCGGAGGAAACATACAGTACGTCCAGTAAATGTGTTGTGCTCTGCCTGTAATGTAATATTGCTTGTAACTAGAATGTAAGCCGGCAAAAAAATTTGTTTCGGTTCCTTTATTTTTGTTTCAGATTTTTTGTTATTTCATTATTCGCGATTATTCGGGATTTGGGTCCAAAGGTCAATTAATTTCGGTATTACGATTCCTCCGAATACAAAATTTTTGTTAATTTTAAATGAGTTAAATGAGTTTATATTTACAAACAAAGTTTATTTGTAGCAAAATGACATTAGAAAAAATTGCATGCATCCGAATGTCCGAATATGCAGAAATTCGTACAAATTTAACTTTGGAACAAAACAAATCTTACATGTCTACTTGTAATCCTATTTTTACAGTTTTCAAAATCCTCATAAATAACTGCTGGGTTATAAGGTACTCTGCTTGAAATAATTAATTGAAACAGAGGTTATTTAGTGATTATATCATCATTGGGGCATCATAAAATGTTTAATACTTTCACGATGTTTACCAGGGCAATCCGTCTGGATACTTATTGTTGATCTTCTTTATTATTTGTTAAAACTTAATGTTCTTTTCTACATTTAATGTAGCTTACTGTTTCTTATCTATGAATATAGCTTAAAATACAGTAAAGGTCATGTTTATGCATTCCTATGTTCTAACCTAGTTTCCTGCTTTTTGTACCTTTGTTGGTTGTGAAGTGATATTGTTTTCTATAGAGCCATGTTTTTTATATTTTTGAAAATGATTATTATCATTATACAGGATTTATATTGCGCCAACAGTTTGTGCAGTGCAATATGCACTGTTTGCACAGTTATGCAAACAGTTATGCACAGTTTGCACAGTGCAGTGCAAAAAAGAATTAATAAAATAAAAAAATACACCAAAGGTTGAGGACCTTGAGGGCACCTCTACTGTACATATCCAAGGTATAAAATGTGTGTGCTGCTCCAAAAAAATCACTTTCACATTTATACACATGACTTTCATCATTTCCTATATTTATTCTAATCTGACTCTAACAAATGATCAAATAGTACTGTATGTAAAGCGCATATAAAGATGCATGCTTGGAAAAACACTTTTACTATTTAGCAATAGTAGTAGCCCTGTGCACTGTTAAAGTGGAACTATGTTTTTTTGTGTGCTCTCTCTGCTTTATTTTCACAGGAAGTAAAATTAGGAAATCCTCCAAAGAGAGGGATGGTGGTCAGCAGAGTCACCAGAAATAGAGTCCCAATTGGAAGATTTCCAATCTATTCCTGTTCTGAAGACAACCCAAAATGTAGGATTGTCTTTCACTTTCATTTTCACATTCAGTGATAACGGTCATCAGGAAAGATAATGAGGGTAAATATCCTTAACAGGGACACAGACAGCTATTAAAACCTGACTGGTGTTCTTATCCCTCTCCACTCAGTTGCACTTTAAATTGAAGGTAGCCATAGAGTAAAGCCTACAGATAGGCATAAATAATAAAAAACAACTCACCAGAAATGGCCTGAACAGCAACTCGAAGGAATCCTTTCACTTCCCCTTTTTCACTGACAATAGCGACTCGATGAACCAAGGGCACAGAGTACAGCAGATTACTCAGGTAGACAAAGGCCCTGCAGAGGGGGAGATAGGTTATAGGGGGAGAGAAAGGGACAGAAAAGAAGAGAGAACGCAGTGGAGGAAAGTGTAATGAGAACAGTTGGAAGTGGAAGAGTGAATTCATAAAAGAAATGAAGAATGTATTTGAAGGTGAGGTCACAAAATAACGAGAAACAGTTTTGTGAAGGAAAAGGAAAGGGGGGATGAAAGAAGGTGAAGAAAAACAAGAAAGAAAAGGTCAGGACACACGCGGCAAATATTTAGTTGGGGGGCACAGCTCACATCACAACAAGAGCTGCCAAGCCAAAGAAAACATGTGGGTGGTCAGCCAAGAGCAGCCGCGGAGTTAGTGGGGCAGCCACAGCAAAGGGAGAAGGGATAATGGGATGGAGACAGACCAGGTGGAGAACAAGGGAAGGAACTGTGAAGGTGAGGGAGGGTTGGAGGCAGTTAGGAGGGCCAGCCGGTGGACCCTGGTGTTCTGTGTGAGGGAAAAGACCAGCAGCAGAGCAATAAAGGTGTATGGGTGTGCCGGCCAAAACCTGAAACAAATCAAATGAAAATAGAACAAGGCAAAAAGAAACAGAGAAACATAAGAAGGAGCCAGCTCTTTCCTCATACTGGTAGAAAAAAATAATCCTCACAATTCTACCAAACCATACTGTTTGGTAGATTAATGTGCAAAGTATTCTGAAGATAATAACTCTGACTTGTGTTATCCACAGAGAAGAAAATAGCAAACCTGGAATAGAATTTTGGGACCTTAACAGAACAGGCAGTTGCATGTTTTTGAGCATTTCACAGAATGAATAAACATGCTATACAGCAAAAACTGATCAATACCTATATGTGTGTGTATTCTCTATTCAACTATCATTCAATTCTAGCAACTCAACAATTGTCATTAGCATCTTAAAAATAAAACGTATCCATATAACACAAAACTCACTCATTTCCTTCGCTCATATAAAATAACTGGCAAGTGGCTTATGTCAACTGTTGAAAGGAAGCTAGCCCTAGGAATGTGTTGGATTACATTGTAAATAGATAAACATATTAACATCCATCTAAAACCTCACATGTTCATTTATTAAATGGACGGCCAAGTATGCAATCAACAATATAAACTTAAGGCATCTTTATTAAAGTGACATTAAATTCGGGAGCTAAATCTTAAAAATGTCTTCAAGTACCTTTACTATTAATGTAGCTTATTCGTGTATCACTCAGCTGTAGATCCTCAAATAATTTCTGAATTGGTGCTGACACTGTCCTTCCTTCTGGAGGGTGGCTACTTTTGTTCCCCATGGTCCCTGTGTGTGTTGTAAAGTAGCCACCACTCCAAGCTCACTCCCGTGATGGACTACATTCTCATGTTTAGTTTACTAATTTGCATTAAGACTGTAGTCCATCACGGGAGTGAGGTTGGAGCGGTGACTACTTTAGTACACACACAGGGACCATGGGGAACAAAATTAGCCACCCTCCAGAAGGAAGGACAGTGTCGGCACCAGTTCAGAGATGATTTGAGGATCTACAGCTGAGTGGTACACAAATAAGATTCATTTTTGTTAAAAGTTAGTGTACTTGCATTTTTAAGATTTAACTCCCGAGTTTAGTGTCACTTTAAGACACACATTGTTTATAGGTATAAGAAACAAGTATTTCGTAGTGAGGAAAATCATGTATTATTATTCTAAGCCTGACTCATATGCTTTTACAAAATGAATACTATCACACTCAAAATCCCTCAACCTGATTGCAGCTAATGATGCACCTGCTCCCAATACAAGTTACTGGTTATTGAATAATCTTTCACCTTTATACCTATAATCCTTTAGTGTTCTTTCTCTTTTATATCCATTTTTAATGTAAGAAGTACTGCAGACAAAGCATTAAATTCACTGACAGATACAGCCATGTCTGTGTTTTCTTTATGAAGCAGCGTAAAAAGTTATTTTTTAAAGTGGTTGCCAGCCTGTAACAAATTTAATAGCTAATGGGGCTGTTCCTGTGCACATTGTGGGCCCAATTATTTATTACAATCAATGTTATGTGATCCATTTCACAGCAAACTATATATTGTTAACCTAGAAAATGGTTTAAATCATTTAAATCTCACTATTTAATATTACATTGCTTAAAACCGGGGCTGCCCCTGCACTATTTACCGCCTGAGGTGGAGGGGATTGAAGCAGGGTTTGCTGGTGGCAGATGTCCGTTCATGGAAGGGGGTACTGGCGCCATCTGCACCTGGCTACCACCTCAGTCTGCCTCATTGTAAGGATGGCCCTGCTTAAAACCCATTGTAACTTTCAGTATTGTTTATTAACTAATGAAAGGGAGGAACTCTCTTTGTGTTGATATAGTTATGAAGTCAATCTAGGAAAATGATAAAATAGCATTTTATGATTTATGAATCCATAAGCACTAGCTTCCTGGTTCTGCTAAGATGTCACCCCTGCAGAAACTATCTTTCAGATATTAGGTTTCTTGAATAGCGCAATGCTGCTTCAACACTATATAACATTGTCTGTCCAAACCAAAATCAGAGTTTTTGGGTAGATGTTGGCAGTCTAAACTGTTCATGGACTTGTTATATCTATTGTTGGCTCAGATGGTGAAATTGCTACATAGCTTTAACCAACTGCTATAGCAAGTACATAGAGATCTCACTGCCCTGTTGATTTTCTATGTTACACAAAGGAGGAGTGAAATTTCTCTTCCTGTAGCAGGTAGTGGAACCGTATAGTGGAAAGGATCAAAGCAAAAATCTGGAATACCCATGGAATATAATCAGTCAGTGGATGATTCATCTAACTGGTCCTTGTAATATTACAGAATGAAATCTGATAGCCAAAGAATAAAATGTAAAGATTACCATTTTCCCCAGTTAGTTTCCCTATCAGGATTCATATGTGACTGTGAAGGTCCTATGTGCTTTTTACATTATTACAGCCCTAGGAGAGAGAGACCTATCACCTATGCTGTCACAAACTAATGTTAAAACTTTATGGTGTTTAAAAGTTTGAGATTTGTATGCATAATATCTGTGCATTGTAGATCAATGTGTACCAATACCACATCTATGGGGCACACCAACAGTGCACTTAAAGGTAGGTGTGTCACCCTGAAAGAGCTGGTTGCTTCCCAGCATGCTCTGGGCAGACCAGACGAACCTTCCCACTACACTGAACAGAGGGGAGCGGTCGTGAAACGGGTCGGATCTGACAGCACAGCAGGGATGCTCCTGGAATCCATCGTCCTCTTCCTCCTCATACTCCAAACCCTCCTCCTCTTCAAGCTGGGAGGCCGGATCTGGGCCCTCGGAGCCAGGGCTTGAGAGGGTGGGGGAGGGGGTTATTTCGGCCATGCTGTCACTCATGCATGTGGTGAATAAGGGAGAGCTGAGATCAGAAAGGGGAAGGGGGAAGGTTAGTACAAGACAGAACTGGTTAATCCGCTCTGCTGGCTGGAAAACCCAGGGGATCTTAGGAAATGGGCTAAATAAAATATTCTGGTGGTGACATTACAGAAATGGCAGGGTTACACAGGGGATTATAGAGTTATGAGTGAGAAACTACAAACCAATGGACAGAGAAAAAGTGGTGGAGTAGGGTAGCATGGATAACAAGGTTAAGGGCCAGAACAATATTTTTCTTTAATCAATACTGTATTCTTTCCATATATATAAATAGAAAATAAGATCATTAGTGGGGTAGCCATTGTTAACCATAGGCATACGATATGGCATCCAAACACAATTAGCTGATCATATGTTCATACAATGGCACCATGAACATGCCAACATTTATTTAGTACAGTAGTGACCTGTATAATGGATATTTACAGATTTTTCCAGTACAACACACGAGCAGGGAAATATCCAAATATACCTAACCTGTTGAAAGAAACCCCCAAAAAACAGTACAGTCCCACCTTTATACAATATAACACAGAATGTGATCATTATTTTCATTTTCTTTATTGCAGTGTTTCAGCAATTGGCAGGTGAATTGGCTCCTGTCTAAATTGGTCATAGTATATGTAGGCTTATGAGAAAGGGACCTTAGATTGTAAGCTGCTTGAAGGCAGGGACTGATATAAATTAATAGTATATAAGGTGCAGCGTAAATTGTTGGGGGTATATAAATGGCTGAAATAAATAGTAAAGAAACAAATAAAAAAATATGTCCATTTGCTGCATATGGAGCAACCATTTAATAGCATCATTATTACCATCACAAATGTACTTCTAAAGACTTTGCATTACCACAACAACACACAAAATGCATACCCCAATGGAGTGTTATAGTAGCGGGCACACACTGCTATGTATGCCATGCTTTGTGGTGCACTTCATTAACAAAAAAGGGTCAAATACTATTTTTTGTGCATTAAAAATAAATTTGTGCATTGAAATAAAGGGGCTGGCTTAACACAGCGCATCGTAATGCATGGTAACACATTGTATTAATCAAAATGTAGTAACGCAAAACTTACAGGGTTATTCACTAAAGAGCCGAAGGATCCAGCTGTAGCTTCGGCTTATCCTTCGGCTCTCTTCGGCCACCTCTGCCCTTCAGTTCAGACGAACTGGAGGGCTATTGTACGGGCTATTCACAATAGTCCCTACAGCAGCCGAAGGTAGCCGAGCGGCTCAGCTAAACTGAACGCATATGCTTTGGCTCGGCTGAGCCGTAGTGACACCCGAAGCATGGAGAATGGCCTACCGAAGGGCCGGCCGTTCTCCACGCAAATGACAGCTGGGCGGAACCAGCCGTGATCTCACGGCTGGCTCCGCCCAGTTGTAATGACAGATCAGCGTCCCCAAATGACCTAGGTACGCTGATTTGTCATATAACAATAACAACAGTGCGGAGCCGGCCGTGACATCATGCTACCCCTGAGGTACCTAGCAGAATAGCTAAGCTGAATGCCGCTCGGCGGCATTCGGCTATTCACTCACTGCTGTTTGGCCCCTATGATAATAGGTGCGCACGGCAGCGAGTGAGCTGCCAGAGCTAAGGCTCAGCCGATTCAGATGTTGGATCGGCTAAGTCGAAGTCCTTCTGCACTTCGGCTCAGCCAAACATGCAGAGCAAAGGCATCCGATGTACGGCTGATATTAGCCAATGTACGGCTGAATTCAGCCGTACATGACTGAAGTGAATAGCCGAACAGCGTTCAGCTCACTTCACTTTGGCTGGGTTACTCAATTGGCTGCCTTTGGCAGCCATGTGAATAACCCCCATATTGTGAAGGGGGCCCTAACGATTTTAAAAGCTGTCTTCATCTTTTGTTATCATGCAATATTTTCAGAGAGCACTGTCTCATCTACAGTCTATGAATATATTCTTTACAGTGAACAACCAGAGTTGTACACAAGTGCCTAGATTTCAATATCATGATTAGAATAGATCCAAACTATGCTGTGGTGTGTACAATATTTCAGTATCTGTTGCCATGGAAACATTTCTGCAGAGGTTTTAAGCCTTTTCAAAGATGCTGGCAACTCTCCAAAAGTGTTTATCTTTAATAATACAAATCACAGAAAATTGGTAGAAAATGAAACATGCACATTAGTAAAAAGCAGGTATGCTGTATAACCATAGCTACAGCTCCTGGTAAAGGTGGGACTGACTGGACAAAAAGGAATAATAAGAGCAACCAACTAGAATGATCTAGAAAATAGGATACTTCATTTGTAACATTCTGTATTCACACACTCAGTCATCAGCCATGATGATGAAGTCATGAGCATATAATACAGGAAAGCAGCAGCTTACCTTCCCACTAGACGGAACCATGGGAAGCGATCATAGAAGGGATCGCCCCCAGTCACCACATTATCACAGTCGTCACTCAGACCTGATGGAAGCTCAGCTGCTCGGTCATACATTTCCCGCATCATGTCCAGGCGCTGCCTGTGGAAAGTTACCATTAACAAGCCATAATTAAACACGTTTCACAGCACTGCAAAGTTGTTTATCATGATAACTTCCTTCTCCAAACGATCACAGAAAGTAGTTTGTTTGACTATCAATGCTCAAAAGTATAATAAGACAGGTTACCTTCATTTACATCAAGGAATTTTGTGTGAAAGGTTGTTTTATTCAAAGTAAAGGCTTTAAAGAATCATTTTGAATAATAAAGAGCATAACGTGATGGCTTAAAATGTATCTCTAAAGATGAAAAAAATTGATTCACTGGTGGACAGCGCTGCTTCCAGCGCTGGCGGGTATCAACGAATATCATTACACCCAATCTGTCAGGTTATATAATAGTTCTTTAAATTTAAAAAAAATTACCAACCAGACATAAGAAATACAGTCTTTTATCTCTATCAAAAGAGAGCAATGAACAAGTAAGCCCTTTGATATCCTCATACACCTCATACACTGCTGATCTAATGTCTAACTAATGCTGACCATACACAACTCAAATTTCTATGGCCCTGTCAACCACCTGGCTCGACAAAAGGACCCAGGTGAAAAATTGTTGGCTGAACAGTGACTGCAACCAGTCAGCTACAGTCACTGTTTGGGTATCTTGATAACCGGGGGTGTGCTCTGAATAGAATAGAAGGCAGGGATGATTCTTTGTTCACACTACTTAGCATGGATAGGGGCCATATTAGATTATGCGTGTATGGCTAGCCTACGCCTATTACCCTTCTCTCTTCTCCACTAAACCCTTACCTAAACTAGCTATAAACCCACTGAAAGCTACTGATTACCTAAATGGCCACTATCCCTGTATTTACATACTGCTTGTCACCATAACTATACTTTACGTGAAAAAAGTCAAGGGTCACAATTGCTATTTCCCCAACTTAAACGCCTGCTGAATTCCCACACCATCTTTTGATCAATATAAATGGGAAGACATGTTTGCAGTCCTCCTAAAATAGGGTTAGTATCCAACATACCTGGTGCCAGGTTGGTATTATTTGGGTTTTGGAAGGGAGATATACTGTATATCTTTCTATCATAAGACAATAAAAAAGTAGGAAAAAATACTACCAGATGCAAGCCTTCTGAAGAAGGTAGAGAAAATAGAGTAGATGAACTGCTAGAAAACATTTTTAAAAGTTCACTCATCTCTAGCTTTAGAGTTCAGTTAACAACAGGGACAATATTTTCATGGAGTTTGTATGGTTGCCCCATTTTTTATGTGGGTTTTCCCTGGGTGCTTATGTTTCCTCCCACAACTCCAAAGCACACTAATGTTTGTGTGATTATTGGTGTACATTAGGTGAAACTTTTGGAGAGGTTTTTATTTAGTCACTTGATACCAGTGTTTCAAGATTATGAGAAACCTATTTGACATAATGAGAACAGACCTTTGGGTTGCTGTAGTTGTTGGACACTGTTGCTATTGGTTCTAAATGAAGACTATAGAGTGATGTGGTATACATATCTTATGACTGTTGCTGCTTAGCCTAGGTTCAACCATATGTACTCAAAAGGGCTGCAAACAATACCTGAGTTTCTCCAAGGTCCAATAGTGAGTTGCACCATTCTTCTGGTCCTGGACCTCTACGGCCACAATTGTCCTTGGGAAGGGACGTTTCTCTCGTTCAGAATGAGCATCAGGGGGTAACAAATCAGGCGGTAGTGGTGAATACAGAGTATCTGTCAGCAGCACGAATTGGAACTGGACCTGCGGACATTCACATCCATAACGTCCATTAAAAAACAATGCTAGTTACAGTTACAGTCATTTTGTTTACTGTCTTGATTTCATTTTAAATGACAATTACATTTTAAAAACGAGGTCAGATGATGTTTAAAAGAATGTGTTATATCTTGTATTGTGCATAATTTTTTACTTCATGCGCTTTTGTTCCAATTCCTGTAGTTTTACGAATCTGCTTGAGACGCTGAACATGTCATGTTTTGAAAATTTCAATAAAAACTGAATGCAAAAAATAAAAGACTGAAGAGTACTCCTTTTTACCCATGATAGCCATTCATCAAAGTGACACCACTATAACAGCCCCATTTGACAAAAGCAATAAATAATGTTAACCCTACCAATAATCACATTTAATGTTTTATCTTTTACACATGTAGGAAAATTAGAGCTCATACCTAACTGGTTGATACAGACAAAAACCTCACTTTTTATTTGGTTCAATTTCTGAGTTTTTGTATTTAAAAAGGTACAGGCAGCTTTGATGCCTGTACCTTTTTGAGCCTTGTTTTTCTTCGCACTTTTTTTACCATAAGCTGAAATTTGAGCAATAGTAAATAACTCCATTTGCAACTACACTTATGTCATTCTGACAGCAAGACTTCTGACAGCAAGACTTATGTCATTCTGGCAGCAAGATTGCATTTAAGGATGGTGACGCATATGTCAGTGAAATATGGTACACCACAAAGTAGAATATACAGTCTGGTAATGTGCGGAAATAGTCAATAGAATATGGACAATTTTGACAAAAGTAATGTATATTATCGAATTGTTAAATATCAAAATAACAAATACAAAAAAACAACTTTAAAAAGGTATTGATGTGCTCTGGATGCTGCTTATACCGCTATGGCTAAAAGCAAGAACAATTTAAAAATCCTAAACCATCCTATATAGCTATAATATAAAATTTAAATATGTTACAATCAAGATTACCTTCTTCTTCAGCTCGACGCTGATTGCATTGGCCTCCTTGAGGAATATAGCATTTCCCCATAACTGGTCACGTAAAGAGGTGAATTGGTACCATTTCCACTTGCGAAAAGCCCATAGTGCCAGATCATACTCCTGTTCTGTCCATTGAACTGAAATAAGAGAGGTTGTTACCATTTTATTATTGTCAGTTGTATGAAGAATGAAAACATCTATTCGATCAAATACACCACTTACCTGAAAAGGTGCACCTTCTATAATGACAATTCTTACCTTCATCCTCTGGTTCCTCCTCTTCATCATTGGTCTCAGTATAATATCTTGAATCCATCTGTCTTTGAAGTGCTTCCAACCGACTTTCATAATCCTGTGAAGTGTTAGAAGTGTTTTATGGCAACAATTCTATTCTAAAGGTGAAACTGGATTGGTTGCCATGAGCTGTGGCAATTTTAATATCATCACTGCTCTATGCAATACTTTTGGGCTCATTCACACTAGCAGAATGGTAAAATGCATCCCAGAATTCTAACTTGAAAAAAGATACCAGTCACATATTGTCAATGAGTGGTCAACTCATAGACCTGTACTGTGAGAAGAAGTACTAGCACACAACTATTGCGCAGGACTGCTAAGCAGGGAGCTGACAATTAGTATACAATACGTAAATATGGCTTCCCCAATTCACATATATATTTATAAAAATTATAATTATATATTTAATGTATTCATATTTAGGTTCTGAAATGGCAGAAGCCTACATTTGGAGCAACACTCGAAATTTTGCTTTTTAACACTCTTTGTATTTTATCCTAAACATTCTAAATACACATACTCAGTGAGACCACCATAAGAAAGTCCAGGCAATAAATTAGGTGCTCACCAGTCTCTGTTGCTCTAGGAGGTAATTTGCTTCTTCACGTTCCTTTCTGTACTGTTCTTCCAGCTCTTGAAGCCTAATTGGATGAGAGATTAAAAGACTCTTGAATTCCTTCTTACAGAGCTATACAATGCACTTGTGTTATAATCAGCAGAAGGTGAGTGACTGGCCTATCCTCCTTTGTATCGTACACTGTTGGGACCTACAATTTTTTTTTAATCTGTCTTATCAGATCTTTCTATACAGTACACATGTAGTGTGGGCATTGTACAATTTTGTAGGGAAAACAATCCCTGACTGGTTCCTCCAGGTACACAAAAATAAGCTTGAATATCCTTGTTTTAGTTAGCATTCAATTGTGTTGTTCATACAAACACATTATGACTCAAGAATTAAGCCACGCACTGCCTAATTGTTGCAAAAGTCTCTTAAATGACTTGAGTCAATTGTAAATAGTTCGCATTTTATGGCAAATCTAAATGTCTTGGCAAGATGTGACAGCTTTCCACTTGTAGGTCATACTGGATATTTTTTTTAAATATTTAGAAGTCTTGTTTTATTCAAGCATCAGCATTAGACTTTTCTTCCCCCGCTCTGATAAATACCTTTGCTCCATTTCCTGCTTCATGTCTATCCCCTGCTTCTCAAGCAGCTCCCTCTGAGCAAATGCCCAGTCCACAGGTTCCATGGGGGTCTCAGCACAGGGAGTGCGCTCTCTCTCTTGACGTGCTTGTTCAGGGTGGTTAAAGCGAAATACATGACTCTTACCCATTATGATACGATTACCTAAATTGAGAAATTAGACTAAATTAGCACAGCCTGTATAACAAATAGAGTTAATTGTTGAGCAACCTACAGATTGCCTATAACTTTTGCATGCAGCATTACTTCTATATTATTATAAAAATTAATAATCTAGTTTTGAGATAAAAACACCATTATTAATGTACTTGGGAAGCAGTTTTTAGGTGCAATATACTTAAAGGCAACCTGACAGCTATTTTAAACCTTTAAAGGTAAAGTCCTACCTACGAGCAGACTCCACAAGATATCAACTCTCTAATACTATTTTCAATTGTTAGTTGAGCCTACCTCCCCTGATGTCTATGCTAAACCTCACCATTCCCACGTGCAATGAAAGTGCTGCAGAGGCCATTAGGAGAGCTTTCACTGGACAGGAGGAAGAGGAACTTTACCCACCAATTTACATAAGTTGAACTATATGGACCTGTGTCTTTATTCAACCTTACCTACTATGTTACTAATTTAATGCCTCCCCAATCAGTTACTTTACAGACATTCCAACTGTCAAGGTTGCCAGTGTGCTTATTTAAGCTCTGAACCAAACTTTTAAGCCAACAAATGGCTGGTGTCATAGCTGATCACATGTGCAGCACCATGGCAACTGCAATCCAAATAGAGACAAAGATGGGACCTTCCTTAGCTATAAGAGATAGGAGGTTGTAGTTCCACTTTAAGGACCCAAGTAACAGTGATCCTGGTCTCAGAGAGGAACATAGAAGAGGATTGTCAAGCTTAAAGAGGCATTAGGAGAAATCTTGTTGTGTCAGCTATCAGGGAGGTTGTACCACTGAATATTGGACTATATTTACACAGGGCTATTATGTGCGTCTAGGGATTCCTGCCACAAAAACCTACGGATTCTTGCAGCAGAAATTTCAAGTGCATCTGTACATTCAAGTTAATGACAGGGTAACTGCGGCCACATTTGTCAGCAGCAGTCTGCACGTAGTTGTACATGGAAGGATTAACTGCGGTTCGGGGTAGATGATTGTCCCTGGATGCAATCTGTAGGTCCTTGCTGCAGGAATCCCCAACCACAGAATAAAGCCCCTTGTGAATGGGGCCTTAGGGCCTGTTCACACGACGTCCGTTTTCTGTGCTGACCTGATCCGTACGCTCCGGCACTAAAAATGCATCCCAATGTATTCCTATGTGTTTTATTGTTTTATGGGCTACAGTTCTCACGTGCGCAGTCCGTTCAGGTTACAACAGAAAAATACTGCATGTCACATTTTGTACGGTCAGGAAACGCAAAACTTATCAAAAACACGTCAAAAACGCACTGCACTGCAGCTAACATACTGACAGCCCCACTCCAGCAAAAACGCAGCAAAAACGCGGCAAAACACATAGCACGGCGTCTGCTGATCCGCACCTGATCCGGACCTGATCAGGACCTGAAACTCATGTGAACAGGCCCATAGTGTTCCAAGGCACTGGTAGATGGTTCATATGAAAAATCATGTTTCAATGCGAACATTTTAAACAACATTCCCTGTTAGAATTTAATTTGTTCAACAAAAATTTCCATGTGCTTCTTTGATTTTTATTTATTCACAACAGTCAAAAATAATGATTTATAAGACCCCATTAACTATCAGAAAATCGAACGGACCGTAAAATTGTTTTAAACAAAATTCTACTGGTGTATGGCCAGCTTTAGTTTTATGTAAATAACTTGACAAAAGTGTGTACACAAAGTGGTTGATTTACCAATGAAAAGTAGCAAGTTCACTTTCCACTTTGCACAGGAATTTTCACTTAGCTTAGTAAATGAGGTGTAGCTGTGCTGACATATATTGTCCATTCATCAAATCCTGTTTTTTTCTTTTCCCTGTGCATGATTGGATATTCTTTTCAAGGTGAATTTTTACCACATTTACTAATGTAGGTAAAAATTCACTTTGCAAGGTGAACATGCTCTACCCATTTAGTAAATCAGCCACAATTTCTCATTAGGGGTTTAAGAAGCTGCATATTCTGGTACAGTTAACAAAGTGCCTCTTACATATGTAGACAGGTGATACCTGGAAATCTGCAATATTTTATATCTAACAACTGATTTGGATTTAAAGAAAAGAGAAGCAATCCTACCAGATCTAAGTATAATCGGTTCGGTCACTTTCTTCCCATTCACATATGTGTCAGCCCCATCACAAGGCTCCAGGGTCACCACCACTGAGATACAACAAAACAATGGACAGCAATGAGAACAACATTCTGTGAGCACAGTATTATAAGTGAGTTGCAATCGACTATTCAATAGATTATGTAACATTCTGCACATGCAAAATTTGTAAGAACTAAAGAGCAGTATAATTTTCTTACAGGGTTATTCACAAAAAGGTGAAGAGTTTGGAGGAGGCAGGAGAAGGGAACAATCTAGGCCAAAATAGCTGATTCGGAAAACTTCTCCAATTCAGCTCAGTTTCCAGTTCAGCTATGTTGTCCTAGATTGTTCACTTCTCCTGCCTTCTCTAAACTCTTCACCCTTAAGTGAATAACCCTGTAAGTGTTTTATCTGATACCATGATGTGAAAAAGAACATATTACCTGACCCACAGGGCATAGAATGACTGCGGAAAACACCGTGTTCATCACGGATGAAATGGCCACTCAGGACAATATCCTGTCTTCTCTCTATATCCTCACGGCCAACTCTGTTACAAGAGTAATAACAGAAATCACACCTACAATCACACCTCATACACCTGAAAACAATTTATAGGCTCAGGAAAACAATTTATAGGCTCATAGACTAAAGAGGCTCATGAAAAAAAAATGAGAGTGGAGACGAGGTAAAAGGCAAAACACACTTGTTCAATAGATACCTAGCATACAAGGTGCTAAGTCAACAGTTCCATACTAACAACTGAGTTCAGCTTTAACAAATGGAGCATCACTGTTTTCAGTCCATACCAAACACACACAAACATACACACATACAGTATATATGTGTGTGTGATCATTTGTTAAGGTTAAATATAGCATTCAGTAGTTCCAGATTAAGCAAGCAGTTTATGTTCTTACCTAGTAATGCCATCTTTGATATAATATAAGAGACATTCAGACATCAAGGGATCTTCATTAAGATTCACCAAGTGAGGAGTCTGGAGGACACAAAAATAATTGAGATTATTAAACACGCTCCAGCTGTAGGTTTAGAAAGAAAGGAAAAACACCCTAACATTGAAATAACAACGGCAGCCCGGAACGTGGCTATGAAACATGCACAAGATCTCATCATTAAAAGTAACTTATTTTGTAGAGCTGGAGAAAGAGTGGTGGAGGAAGAGAGACAGACACTACACACCAAACTTGCACCAACCTCCTTTGGGGAATAAACCCCAACAAGTTCTGAGAGATTTTTCACCACTGCAGGGCTGAACTGATAATCCGTGGAAAGGGGAATGGAAGGGTTGGGGAGACAACAATGAAAACTCAACAACACAACAGCACAAAGACAACATGAACACTAGACAAAATTGCCTAATTTATAACTTAATACACCTGTTCACACTTACTGTCCATACATTATAGGACAATAGGGTCATGACACATATGCATGAGAAAGAGGCATCCAACAAGCACTCGAGAGGCTCTAGTGCTGAAAGTGTTGGGACTATATCCCTGTGATAGTGATTTGATGTTTGCAAGGTGGGAACTATTACTAAACAATACAGATACTGGCTAACTTAATTACACATGGGTATCTACAGTATGAATGGTTTTAATTACTTGCTCTATTTGGCTTTGTTTTAAGGAGGATTTTAATGGCCACTTAAACATTCAGTTTAAATCAGCTAAATACAGTCCAGGTGCATCAAAACAATGAGTGTTCAATGACTTACGGTTTGTGCTTTAGAGAGCAACCACAGCCTGAGTGGAAGTTTGTTCCTTGAAAGCATGCTGTCCGTGTGGAAGCAATGGTCTCTCTGCAGAGGTGAAGCACACCCCTTGCTTCAGAATTAGAGCTCTCATATTAGCACAAAGTATGACACTTGCTGATTGCAGAGCTGTAATCAGGGGACGTGTTACACCTCTACAGCATGCTGGCAGGGGACAGGCTTTTTTACTCAGGCTATGGCTGTTTTCTAAAGAAAATGATTTTGAACACCTTTTGTTTTAATGCACCTGGAATGCATTTACCTGATGTAAACTGAAAGTTCAATAAGCACTTTACTGCTTTGCATGGATTCTGTTTTAAATATGTCTTTTAAGGTTTCTGTACACACAGAAGTTATGATTGCCTGCACAGATCACAATAAACTTTAATTGAAGAACTTCTAATTATATAAACAGTTACTTTCCAGTTGTGGAAAAAAAACTTATATAACAGAAAATGATCAGAGCAGTCGTTTTAATAAACATTTATTTTCCTTCAATAACTGAGATAAGTTAATTATAAGTTAGATGTTCGAAGCTTACCTTTTTAGGTGAAAACACCCCAAGGGTTCCTCCATCTTCTCGCATAGCAACCCCCATCTCTGCCAATAGAGCTTCCCTGTGTGGACAATAAGACAAACATTGATCATGTGACATCACACATCACTGCCATATCATGTATACACCGTCTTTTATTCCTACAGTAGCTTTTGCTATGTGATTATTATCATTCTATAGACATGTGCGATTCGTTTCGTTCCGAATCGAAATTCGGACGAATTTTCGGAAATTCGGACATTCGGATGTATCCGAATTCCAAATTACAGACATAACGAATGCAAACGAATCCGAATTTCCATTTCCGAAATTCGGTAGCATTAGTACGAACGTTCGTTTCGTTTTCTGTTCTTATTCGTTTCTTATTCGTTTCGTTCGTTGGAGCAAAGTGACATTAGAGGAGAAAAATATTTTTTCCCCCTCAAATGTCACTTTTGCTGCAAACGAACGAACGAAACGAATAAGAAACGAATAAGAACAGAAAACGAAACGAACGTTAGTACTAACGCTACCGAATTTCGTCCGATTCCGAATTCCGAATCCGAATTGACTTTCAGACCCGAATCCTGAAAAACGAAATAACACAAATCCGAATTTAAAATGAAACGAAACTACACAAATTTTTTGGCAATGCACATGTCTATCATTCTATATTGTTCTTTTAAAGTAGCTACTGTTCCAGGCTCGCTCCCTTGATGGACTACAATCTCACATTTAGTTTACTAAATTGTATCGAGATTGTAGTAAATCACACAAGCGTGCTTGGAGCAATGGATACTTTACAACACACACAGGGACCATGGGGGGAAAAAGTATCCACCCTCCAGAAGGAAGGACAGTGTCAGCACCAATTCAGAGATCATTTGAGAATCTACAGCCGAGTAACACATAAATAACACATTTTTGTTACTAGCCAAGGCACCTGAATGCATTTTTAAGAATTAAAGGAACACTAAACACAGGAGTCAAATGCATTCAAGTACTTTACTACACACATGAGGACCATGAAGAACAAAAGTAGCCACCCTCCAGAAGGACAGACAGTGTCAGCGCCAATTCAGGGATGATTTGAGGATCTAAAGCCGAGTGATACACAAATAAGCTACATGTTTGTTAATAGTTAAGGTACTTGAATACATTTTTAAGATTTAACTCCTAAGTTTAGTGTCATTTTAAAGGGAATATGTATATGTTATATCAAAATTCTGGAGAACAATGCAATGCAAAGAGATGGAGGAATTTAAAGGGAAACTATAATGGTTTGGGTGCCAATTTTGTTTTAGTTTTCCAAAGTTTTCAGTTTTATACCTATGTTTTATATCCGTTTTTATATATGTATACTGGATCACTGCACTGGTTCTGCTGTACATACAGGGGCAGTAAGGTTTTAGTTTGGAAAGTGCAAAGCTTGGTCTGGCAACGGTGGGAGGGGAAGATATTTAAAGAACTACTGTCATGAGAAAAATATGGGCACAGCAAATACTGGCTGCCCTATGAAAATGCTGGTAACCTGGTTGTGTCTGACTGTAAACAAGCATGTAGCAAGAAAGAAGACAGAAATAATAAAATCCATACTTGTTTCAGATCAGTGACATAAAGTACTGAAGAGGTGGACACATTATAAACATTCCTGGGTAGGTAGAGTAGCACTTTATAAAATGAATATACTTCCTCGTTTTTTATATCTTTTTCAAACCTAACTTATTGAGTTACCTGCCTCCTTTTTTCATCAAAATTGTTTGGCGCTGACTCAATATGTATGGGCAGGGCGTTCCCCTAGATTAGCATATAACATTCTTATAAAAAGGAAAGAAATGGGAGGTTTGTCTCTTCCAGATTTGAGAACATATTATTACTCTACGTTACTAGCACATATATTGGATCAAAAGTTTAATGGTATGAATAAGCTATGGGTTACTCTGGAGAAAGAGATTGCTCCTATTCTTCCATTCTCAATACCATGGATAAAACCTGAACTGCGACTGCAGAGATATGCTCTTCCCTTTTGTAAGCCCCCTCTCTTGAAAGTGTGGGATTATCTGGTAAATGAAATCCAGATTTCTACTATTGTGGGACCCATGACCCCCATTATGGGAAATCCAGTATTTGAACCAGGGGAGTCAGTTGAACAATTCTTTCAATGGACTTGTTGGTCACCCTCACCTCACTTATAACAGAAGCTCTTACTTCAACATACTTGAAACCAATGATTTCTCTGTTGCCTGTACAGATGCACAGATATAATCTATGGCTTCAGTATTTTCAACTTAGAGCCCTGTATGATAGTTTGCAGAAGACAGCTTCGTTACATAGACCACTGACTTGGTTTGAACATTTTTGTTGCCAGAAAGAAGGACCAACCCACGTGATCTCTATACTATATCATAATATAATGAAAGCACAATTCCCTTCAAGGCCTTATTTTATTTCAGCATGGAAGAAAGACCTACAAATCTCATTAACAAATGAGGAAGTGCAAAAGTCTTTTATTCTAACCCAAAGGATATCTATTGCCTCCTCATATCAAGAGAAAAGGTATAAGATTCTATCTCGTTGGTATAGATGTCTGACTTTATTACATAGAATTTGCCCCTTAAAATCATCACTGTGTTGGAGATGTGGGAGTGAGGAAGGAACCTATCTTCATATATGGTGGAATTGTGAACATATAATGCCTTTTTGAAAGAATGTTTTTGTAATATATAATCAAGTAATGGGTACTGGAGAGGTTCCATCACCTAAAATAGCCCTTCTCTCAATTTTCCCAGACTCCATATCTCGAAGTAAAAATGATATTTTTAGATTCTTTGTGGCAGCAGCAAGAATATTAATTCCACGATACTGGAACACACAAAAATATCCAAATATCAAAGAATAT